AGCAGTGGTATCAACGCAGAGTACTCCTAAAATTTTTTCGGAGTGCGTGGCTAACGCCACGCACCTTCATTTAAAATTTTTTTTTGCCGCGCCCCCCCCCGAGCCGAAATCCTGGGTACGCCACTGATAACTACCACTCTGCAGCGGCGCATAGGCAGTTATATTCTCTAATATATCGATGGTAGTTACGTAAAGATATGTCTCAAGCAGCTCATAGCTTCTGTTGTTTCAAAATACCAGCTTGTGCTACACATAGGGCGAGCGACTGCTTCTTGCAATAATAGACTTTGAGCGGCTCTTAGGACAATTTTTGAAAGTTGGTTTGAAGATTTGAAGGACAATTTCTTCTTGATATCGGTCTGTGTGCGTCCATAGGGCAACCTTTTCTGGAAGAGGTCCGTAAGCGGCTCGTAGGATCATTCTACATGAGCAGTTCTTTTTTGAAAAATACCAGTCTGTAAGCAGCCCACAGTGTAGTCTTGTCAAAATAAGGGTCTGTAAGCGGCCCATAGGGCATTTCCTTCTAATGACTAATTACCGTCCCGCGGGCGGACCATAGGGCAATTTTTCCGTCTGTAAGCAGCTTAAAGGCTTCCCCGCAATATTCGATTTGTAGGGGGGGGGGGATTGTATGGCAGACTTATCCCAGAATACGATATCATTTGTAGGGGTATGAAGGGCACTATTTTCTCAGATTACCGCTCTGAAGGAGGCCTGTAGGAAAGTTTTTCTTGAAGTATTCTTCTCCAGGATCGTGGGGCAGCTCTCACATATACCGCTCTGTAGGCGCGGAGCAGTACGTATTTGCAAAAAGTGGTTTATAGGCGACGCATAAGGCATGAGAATACAATGCTTGTTTCGCTGCCAGAATTTTTCGGGAACTGAGGTACTTTCTGAGTGTTTAGCTGAGTGTAGACTACATCGTCGCTTTGAGAGTCGACTGCTTGGTGACTCTGTTGAGATTGGTGCAAACATTTGACCCAAAGAAAATTTTTAGAAGAGAGTCAAAAGGTATCGAATAATCAGCAAAGAGGATTCTCACAATCAGAAGAGTCAAAAGTCATTTATTACTCGGTTTCAGTTGCCCAGAACCCTAAAAAGGTATAAAACGTAGAGGTTATTGTGGTGATGACTATATGTACCCTAGCATACTTGCAAGCGGCCCTTAGGGCCGCTAGTCCTATCATAAGCTCTAACAATGCGATGCTAGCTAGTCAGTGTACTACCTCCGGCTATTAGTCACAGAGTATAACTTGAATATCGATGTATTAGGCACATCATAAAGCAGTGGTATCAACGCAGAGTACTAGTAAGATTAAATAAAGTAAGAGGGGACACCTTTTGCGGTCGCATTACGTTTATACTGTAAGTTAAGTCAGCACCGGAATCCGAACGAATAACGCTTCCCTTCGGATGCAGCCTTACGTACTGGTGACAAAATACGAAGAGAAAACGCTGCAGAGTGACAGTGATCATGGGTGCAGCTTGCACCGCAGGTTCTTTTTGAAGTTCGTAAGTGCGCGATGGTCCTGCCAGCAAATAGCGGCTTGCTACGAAAACAGTTCCCAAAGCTGTTGTGTTAGAGTGTTCTTTGGCATGAGCTCAGTGTCAGTGGATGGAAAGACGTTAGCAATAGTTAAGCTGTCACTATCTTGAGTTCTCAAACTATACACAGTATAAAATTCAGATTCATGCCGTCACTCCTCCATGAAGAAGAAAATAGGTAAACTATACCAGGTTAAATGGTAAAATATAGCTTTCAACACCTATCAAGGTGATGTTGTACAACTCAACAACTCATCAAGAATGGCAAAACTCCAAACATCCTTAGTGCGACATTCGTCTCTGGCTTTTACCAGCACCAGTTTCCAGAAGATGCTTCAAATAGATAACAAACAGAATAACAGCTAATTTTTGATTTCCGAGAAGTTCATCTACCTAAACGGGTCTGTGCAGTTTCTATGCGTAATATATAGAAACCCTCAATTGATCCATTCTACATTTGATGGGAAAACAAGTGCAACAGTGACTGTAGTCAGTT